TGAAAGAAGCCAGTCTGCGAAGGTTACGTACTATGCAGTTCCAACTCTATGACACTCTGGAAGAAGCACACCTATGGGATGGTAAAAAGATCATCTGTTGACAGGATTTGGGGATGGAGAAAGGTAGGAATTGGTGGAGAACAGGAGATTTTATTCCCAAATATGATATGTATCATGCTAAAATGCTAAATATAAATCACTGTACACTTGTCCAAACCCACAGAATGAACAGCACCAAGAGTGACCCTTAATGGCAACTATGGACTCTGGGGGGATAATGAGATTATTAGTTTCATCATCTGTAATGAAGGGGCCACTCTGATGGGGATGTTGATGGTGTGAAAGGTTATGCGTGTGTGTGAGTGGCAGATATATGGGGAATTTCTCTGTTCAGTTTTATTGCAAACCTAAAACTGTTCTGAAACATGAAATCTCTCAAAAACAAACCAACCAACCAACCAACCAACCAACCAACCAACAAACAAACAAACAAACATTGTTTCTCCAGCATCTGGCTTCAGGTGCACTGCACATGTGCTCTGGTCCTAAGATGAGACTTCTCTTTCTCGTCTACCACATTGTGACTTCCCAAATATTGCTCTAGAAGGCAGCTTCCCCATAATTTTTATTTAAAAAATTTATTTGTATTTGTGTTCATGTGTGTGAAGGAGGCCTTCTCTTCCTTCTCACACGTGGAGGCCAAACACCAGACTTGGTTGCCGTTCCTCAAGATGCTCTTTCTTTTCTTTCTTTTTTTTGAGACAGGGCTTGCTCACTTTTACCTGGAGCTCATTGATTTGGCTAGGCTGGCTGGCCAATGAGCCCCGGGATCCTCTTGTCTTCATCTCCCCGGCACTCATCATGTCCAGCTTTTTTTCTTTAAGGCAGGGTCTCCCTTAGCCCCACAATTTCACAGAGATCTGACCGCCTGTGTCTCCTGAGTGCTGGAATTTAAGTGGGATGCCACCTTACCTGGATTCTTCTTTCTTGATATATAGTTCTTCTGAGTCTTTGATCCTTAGCATTTAATTAATTTTATGTAGTTCTAAGGATAGCACATGCATCTTTTCTAGGTTTCTCTTTTCATTCATAATTATGTCACAGGCATTGTTTTCTTGCTACCTGATGCTCAGAGATTCCCTAAGGGCTCCTCTTGTTGTGCCATGGTGCCTGACCCTGTCCTGCTGAGGAACATTTCTGTTTTGTATCTTCCTGTCATATTTTGAAACATTACAGTCCAGTGAAGCAGAATTGTCTGTTCCCAGGGGCTGACAGTAATAGGATTTGACATCTGCTCATTTCTTTCCTCAGAGGAGTGTTGGAAGAAATTGCTTTGAGAGGCCTGAGGATGTGGCTTAGTTGGTAGACTGGTTGCCTAGCATGCATGAATCCCTGGGTTCTATCCCTAGCATTGTGTAAATGGGCATCATGGCACACACCGGTAATCTCAGCACCCACCTCGGCTACATAGAGAATCTGAATCTGAGGCCAAAGGATATATGAGAGCCTGTCTCAATAGGTAAATAAATAAGTAAATAAGTAGCTTTGAGAGAATGTTAGACTATTGAAAATTTAGGAAAAAAAGACTGTGTGGCAACAACATATTTCAGAAGACTGTTTTAGAAAATCAGGCTGTGTAGGTTTTGTTTGAGAGACTCACAAATGCGGCATGAGTTTATAATGACAATTTGTGTGTTCATGTACGCATGTGTGTGCATGTATGTGCACATGCACATATGTGCATGCCTATGGAGGTCAAAGGTTGACGTTGGGTGTCTTCCTCAATCACACTCCACTTTATTCTTTGAAACAGTGCTTCTCAATGGCCTGGAATGCACCAGTTCCATTCAGTGAGGCCGGCTGGCCAGCAAGCCTGAAGGATTCTCCTGTCTCCACCTCTCCAACACTGGGGTCAGAGATGCAGGCTGCAGTGCCTGGATTTTATATAGGTGCTGGGGATTGAAAATAGGTACTATAATGATAATTTTGACATAATGCTTTCTATTCAGTATTTGGTGCTTGTGAGAGCTGGCTTTTTGCTTGTTGTTTGCTATCTGTGAGACTTTCATCAGAGAGCAGTTGCTGAGCCTTAGTCTATCTGTTTTTGTGCAATAAGCAGACTAATGGGCCAGGACAGAGACCAAGTGGAAGAAACAGATGAGCCCAGACAGCATGCAGGAAGGTTCCCAGGAGAGAGATGGGCCTCTGTTTTAGCCCTTTGTTCCTGGGCCTTAGTTTCTTGATTTGTACACAGCTTGGTGCAGAACAACCCACTATCCCTGTCCCAAGCTACCTTTGCTCCTTTGTCTACTGTGAGGGTCCCATAGGTGGTACATCCTGGCTCCTGTCCATGTGTTGGACACTTTTGGACCCCCAGCAGCACTTCTGTTCAGTTCTGCCCACAACTCCTGAGAATCCTCCAGGGCAGCAAAGCGGCCCAGCATCCTCCAGAGCCCCTGGTACATTTTTTGGGTAAAGAAGGGTGGAATCGGCACTCTACAAACATATGTAGCTTGCTCTCCCTATCTGCTGTTCTTCATTCTAGGACTGACAATGTTCTGGAGGAAAATTCCATCTGCACTGAACACGCAGACTCTTCTTCCTTGTCTTTATTCCCCAAACAATATGGAACAATAGCTATTTACATAACATTTGCATGTGTTAGATTATAAATCATTAGTGATTTTAGGTACATCTGAGAATAGGTTTAGGTGCAGACTACGCTGACTGGCTAGCAAGTCCTAGGAAACTGCCTGTCTTTGTGTCTCCAGTGGTCACCCCTGCCCTACTATGCCTTTTAAAAAGTTTTTAAAAATATTTTAATTGTATGTATATGAGTGTATGGCTTGCACGTATGTAAGTGCACCCATGTTGTGCAATGCCTGCAGAGATCAGAAGAGGGCATCGGGTTCCCCTGGAACTGGAGTTACGGACAGCTGTTAGTGCCATTTGGGTGCTGGGAATTGAACTTGGGTCCTCTGCTCTTAACTGCTGAGCCATCTCTCCAGCCCCTAAAAAAGTTTTTGTTAAAATTTTTTTTCTGAGAATTTCATATAATGTATTTTGATCATATTCAGACCCCCTCCACCTTACTAAACTCCACCTGATTTCGTGTTCTCTATTACTTTTTTTTTTTTTTTTTTTTTTTTTTGAGACAGGGTCTCCCTTTAGCCACAGCTGTCCTGGAACTCACTATGTAGACCAGGCTGGCCTTGAACTCACAGAGATCCACCTGCCTCTGCCTCCCGAGTGCTGGGATTAAAGGTGTGTGCCACCATGCCCAGCCTCTATTACTATTTTTTAAGTCCTATTAAGTCTAATTTGTGTTCTCAAATGTTCTTCAGTGTGAGTCCATCCCCTGGACTGGAGCCTAGTCAACCTATTCAACATCACACCCTTAAAGAAAACTGACTCTCCCTCTTCCAGCAGCTATTAGCAGTTAATAGTTCCTTAGCTGGGGTTGGGATGTCTTCCCCACTTTCATGCTGGGATTTTGTCTGGCTTGAGGTTGTATAGATCTTGTGCATGCTGTCACAATTGCTCTGTGTCCATGTAGTCATCCACCACTTTGGCTCTTACAATCTTTCTGCCCCCTTTTCCACAGTGATCCCTGGGCTTTGAGAAGAGATGGTGTGATCTAGGTGTCCCATTCAGGGATAAGCACTCTGCAGGGACCTCAGGAAACCAAAAAGCTTCTGTAACACAGCAAAGGACATGATCATTCAAGTGAAGAGGCAACCTACAGAACGCAGGAAACTACCAGCTATACCACTGGCAGAGGATTAGTGTCTAGAATATACAAAGAACACAAAAAAACTAAACATAAAAAAAATTTAAAATTTGGATAAGAAACTAGAGTTCTACAAAGATGAAATGCAAATGGCTGAGAAATAGTTTAATAAAGTTCAACATTGTTTGGCCCTCAGGGAAATGTAAATTAAAGCTACTTTGAGAGTTCATCTTATCCCAGTCAGAATGGTTAAGATTGAAAAAAAAAAAAAACCACCAAGAACAATGACAAATGCTAGGGAGGGTGTGGGGAAAGGAGAACAGTAATTCACTGCTGGTGGGAGCTCAACTGATGCAACCACTATAGAAATCAGTGTGGAGGTTCCTCAAAAAGCTAGAAGTGGATGTAGCACATGATCCAGCCATACCACTTTTGGGCACATCGCCAAAGGACTCTATATTTTACTATGCCTTTTTTCATAAAGGAGTTTCCAGGATTTTGTTATCCACAGGGGTCATAGAACAGCTCTCCTCCCCTAGTGACTGATGTGTGTCCTTGGATAACCGTCTCTTCACCAGTAAAGAATGACTTTTAATTGGATCTCCTACTACAGGAATTAGGAGACAATTCAGTGTAGTGGTGGAGGGCCTGTAATGTGGTCAGGAATCTTTAGCCAGGCCTCTAGGTGCCTCCTCTGTAAAATAACAGGAGCCAAAGAGCCAGCATTGAGAGTGCAGTTATAGGTGCTTGTTAGAACAGTTATTGGCTAACTGGAGAAAGTGAGCGCGTCATCGGCACAGGACTAGGAGAGGGAAAAAGGGACAGATACATATGCTGCGCTCCGCTCCGGGGTCCTCCGGTAAGAGGTGGGAGCTGGGGGAGCCGAAGGAGGTGAGTCTGGGGAACGATAGGGCATTCTCCCAGCACTCTGGCACCCCGGGATTCCAGGGCCCGGCACTTACCGCTGCACAGTATCACGGATCTCCTCTGCTAGGTTACCTTCCCAGGGTTGCAGGAGGTAATTGCTGGGGAGGAGGACCTTGTTAGTCCCCGCCCCCGGGCGGTGTAGCTTTGGAGAGTCGAGATCGCGGCAGCCTGGCGCCTGCCCTTGCACCTGGGCGGTGCGGATCCGGAGCGGGGAGTGGCTCTTTAAAAGGCTGGGTCGTGTCGGGAGGGGGCGGGCAGGGGGAGCTGACCACCGCCTGGGGCGGCCCTTTCTTCCCGCCCCCTCCCTCCTTCGGTCGGTCGGTCCCTCCCTCCCTGGGTCTCCGTCTTTAGCTTGCTGGCTCGCCTGGCGCACGCTCCGCCTCCATCAGTCTGCTGTGCGGTGCACAGCGTGGAGCCGGAGTAGCAGCCGGTGGAGTGGCCGGGGCTGGAGGCTGGGAGCGCGGTGCGCACAGCCTCCCCACGCCATTATCCGCGCCCACCACGGGCGAGGCCGGCGCCACGATGGCAGAGATGGGGAGCAAGGGGGTGACGGCGGGGAAGATCGCCAGCAATGTCCAGAAGAAACTCACCCGCGCCCAGGAGAAGGTGAGCGATCCGTAGCCCAGCCTCACCCGACCCTCCCTACCCCCGGGGTCGACCCTGTCACCTCTGCACCTTTGCTGCCACAGAGTCCCCGGGCTCCGTCTCCCCGCACTCTGGAGACCCTTTCGGTGTCTCCCCACCTGGGACCAGGCAGGAGAGAGCGCAGCTGTCCCCCTGGACCTCCTTCCCAACCATTTTGTACCTTCGCGGCTCTTTTGCAAAGAAGTGGCGGCCAAAGCTTCCAATTGCTCCCCGGACGTGGGGTTCACGCTTACTCCATCCTGGAGGCCAAGGGCGGGGAGTCTGGGAGGCGACCCGCAGTCCTCCAGGCCCACGCGGGCAATCCGGGCGGGGCTCGCGTGGGGGGAGGGAGCCTTCTAGCTCCCCTGGGGCCATATGTGTCCCATACTCCTAAGGCTATACTTCCCAGGCTGCAGTCGGCGCCCTCTGCCCTTCCCTTCCCGAGAGGTGCCTGCGGCCTGGAAGCTCCTGCTTAGACCCGCTGGTTGCAGAAGGCTGCTCACCGCTTCAGGGAGTCTCCCGGCTCCAGCCAGGACTAGGCTTAGGGGAGAGGGTTGTGGTCTGGGGTTTGAAAGCCGGTGGCCCGCGGGCGGGCTGGCCCAGAGGAGGGGCGTGGAGGGTGCTGCAGGAAACTCGACCCCTCTTTGCCAGTGTGACTCTGGATGTTCGCGGGGGATGGGATGGGGCTTCCTGGGACACCCTGACTGTGCCGGAAATGCAGGGATTGGGGGCGGGGGTCCTTCGCTGGTCTGCCTTTTACCCTAAGCCATCCCTGGTTTTATTGAATTGGATCACGCCAGCTGCTGACGCCACTTCCCCTGCCAATTCCGACTCCGAAATCTGATTGTAGAATCCATGTTTCTGCTAGGGGTAGCCCCCCATGGGCTCTGTAGCTTGACTGGGGCCTGGTGGAGATAGGGACCGGCTGGCCTTCCTCTGCCGGTCTTGTAGCTGTTTATAAACAATGACTTTTGCAGCTGAGATCTGTGAGCTCCCTAAGGATGCAGCCACGTGATTGTGTATGGGGGTGGGGTAGGGCTCCCTCAGAGTCCTACTCCTCATCCTTGGGGTTCCTAGCTAAGGAGGTGTGTGTGTGTGTGTGTGTGTGTGTGTGTGTGTGTGTGTGTGT